ACCTTGTCGCCGACCATTGCATGCGACAGAATCTCATGTGAGGCTGAAACATAAACTCATTCAGAACATTGTACCCTTCTGAAAGACTTTCGTAACCAAAGAAAAAGAGTACCATTTTTAAGTGGGGGCTGTATAATGTTATAATATTGTAATTTTCACGCCCTGTGTTGAATTTCATTGGCACGTGCTGCTAGACTCATTATATATTCAGTTTTGTTTGTACCTTCGGTGCACTTGATAGAGATTAAAATGTCTGTTCAGTAAACGCTTGAACGTGTGGTTCGCTGTGTTATTACTTATAATAACTTTTAAATTCCACCATTATGAATAAAAATAAACAAGTTAGCCATTAATTCTAAGCAGGAAACGATTTGCATTATTTTCACGTACCCCTTCCCCAATCCCTCTGTGCCCCAAAATATAGTGTGACAGTATAACGTGGCTAATTTGACGTAACCGGAAATTCCAAAAATTGTTGTCGTTCTACGAGCATAAAGTGCGACGGACGGAGCTGATTTACACTAGACAGAAATATTGTATTGTATGAAAACCAGAAGTATACTAAAACAGACAGCCAACTGCCCATTGATCCCGCCTGATCCAGGGGCCTCTGCCTGCACTGAGACTTTGCTGCGCTTTTCACAAACAGGCGAACTCTAAACTTCACAATTGTGTTTTTCTCTGCCGTCAATCATAATAACGATCCCAAGCGACCAACCTTGAAACAGAGAAACACAAAACGGATCGAAATCCCCAAATCACAAACCATGACCTTTTGAACCCGTGAAGTAAAGTTTTGTTTCCTAAGAGGTCCCTTAAGATATGATGATTGACAGCAGCGAAAAACGCAATCGTCGGTTAGCTTCTGAACTTCAGAATTCGCATGTTTGTGAAAAGTGCAGTAAATAGACGATCCTAATTTGCGGTCTACAGTCTACATGAAAACGCACTATTTTTTCCACAAGATAAAAAATATTCAGTTTTAAGATTTTCCTCTTGGTATTTTTCTCTAACTTAAAGGAATAAAATCCTTTGCATTTTGTGACCTAAAAAAGTCTAAAGTTTTCTCGCTCGCATGTTGCTTTCATCAGCACGCACTTCAAACAATGTATTTTACCTGATACCGATATGAGTTAAAATTCGCTCGAGTTCATTGTTTGTCTCACCCATGACTAACTTTTCTTCATGGACGATAATTATGCCGCTTTATAACTCCTCCGAAGTTTTTGTGCCAGCTAAACAATATAGAATCACTATTCACAGTCCTTGGATATTAAAAAGACTGAACGTGACGCACTATTGCGACTTTGTTTACTTCTGATCACATCTTCACGCGAAGTCTCTCTTTTCAAGCGATTCATCTCAATGCACAATAATTGACCCTTATATTAGTTAAAACCCTATGGTTCATTTATATCAATGCTGTTTTTGCCCCTCACATTCACTGTGTTCGTTCGTATTCAAAACACCTTTAGGAAAACAAAGGTCATATAAGTCATGTGTATTATGTTTCGAGATAAATGGATTATACGCTTTTTTTAAGTTTCCATTTTGCGGTGACTTCAGTTTACATCTCCATAAAATGGTAGAAGAAATATCAAGAAACATCACGAGAGCTGAAAATTTTCAAAGGCATGTTTCTGGAACTCGCTAATGCTGACATCAATATAGCGTGCTTGCTGACTGGGCGAAAACACAGAATTGTGATCACAAGATCATGTACAAATTTAATGATAAAAGTTTAGCAAGATACAGATACAAACAAAAGCAAACCCCCTGAAACCTCCACGTGGGCTACACTTGTATGCTCTACTCAGTCATCAAACCTTGTCAGTTAATAGCTCCTATTTTCCTCAAGTCAAGCCTTGAACTTGTGTGCGAAATTCTCGGAGTTCCTATTTTTGTCCGAGTCTTCTTTATCCTCAGTATCCGAAATTTAGACCTCCAAATTAAATAGAAAGAAATATTTAAAGGAAAAGCCAGTCTTCTAAAATGGCAAAGTTGTCACGTCCCTCGCACATGGACGTGCGTAACATCAGGATTCATCTGACATTCATCCACATCGGCAACTGAGTTGTTCGCTTCACTGACTACGACAGCTTACAATCAAGTCTTCAGCCATAGTGTCGTCAACTGGTGAAATAGTTTGCTCATAAATTGTGCTTCTTAAGAGGCCCTGCGCCTAAGAAACGACCGATGATTTCCGGCTAAAAAATAAAATCGGCCGATTTTTATCTCCCAAGTAGAAGTTACCGAATACTATTCAAAAATGAATTTCTTTTGTTTCAGTTTCGCTTTAAACCAAAAATATCGAGCCGCAAACTTTTTCCGTCTGATAGCAGCAAAATCAGGCCTAAAATAAGCCCTCGCAAAAACGGTTCAGAAATCACTATCGCAACGCAAAATAGCGAGAAAACCACACAGTGATGAAGAAAAAGGCCTTTTAATGCAATATCATTCGATAAACATCGAAAAACTGCCGAAGGGAATAAAAAATAAA